AGCTTGAGAAACTTGAAATAGAATCTTGTTATGAACTTGAAGAAATCGTTGCAAAGGAATTAGGCACAGCAAACTTAGTACAAAAATTTGTGTTCCCGAGCTTAAAGAAGTTGGATCTTTGTGACTTGCCACGTCTCACTTACTTATACCCTGACACGTTCACTCTTGAGTGCCTTACATTAAACAAATTATTTGTGTTGGATTGTCATGAGTTGGAGTTATTTCAAAGTGCAAATCACATGGGTGATAATTAAGGTACAAGTATTCCAAATAACACACAACCTTTCATCTCAAATCTAAAGGTAAGCAGTATAAAGATGAGATACTTTCTTCTGAGTTGTGTACCTGTTCTCAGAAAAGATTTTCCTCTTCCTTTTCAAAATCTCTCTGGCATAGGTTACAAGGGGTTTCTGGAACGCTCCAAAATGTTTCATATTCCCGATGGTATCTTTATGAATACCTTCCTCGGACTGGAATCAGAGGCCATAACAACTTTGCATGAACACATGAAAGGGAAGCCCGGGATTTACCCTGTTGGACCCATCATTCAGATGGGGTCGATTGATCATGAAAATGGGCTGGATCTGAGTGAGGTTGCGAACGACACTTCCCCAGGCGCGAATCTACGAAGAGGCATCGGCTTCGGATCTAAGACGAGGTGGTGGTGGCTCCCGGCAGCGGTGGGGCAGCGGCGGGGCCGCTTGCTCTTCACGCCAAAGGCCACGCACTGGCAGGTGAGGTGGAAGTTGCGCTCGAGCCGTCGCACATGATGAGGTGGTGGTGGCTCCCGGCAGCGGCGGGGCAGCGGCAGGGGGCACTTAGCGCAGGCAGCAGTGGAGCGTATACAGAAGAGAGAGAAGCAAGAAAAATAAAAGGGAAATGGGAGAGGGGCTAGGTTTTCTGTAGGTTTTCTGAAGATTTGCACGGTCCAAGCCCAAGTTTTAATAGCCTTATATGCCTCGGTCGATCTGTCAACCGAGGCAGTATCTCTTTCACCTGAGGTATATACCTCGGTCCATTCTTCCAACTGAGGCAGTATTCGGTTTAGACACCGGTTGCTTAACAACCGAGGCATATAGTGGTTTGAAAATTACAAAACTACCACCGCGTTTTGATAGACTTCGGTTATGGAAAAACCGAAGCGTAATGTGCGAGTTAAAAATGCGATTTTTTACTAATGATGAATCCATATATTAAGTTTAGAATATTATATTATATACGTAAGTTGTTTATTCTTGAGAAGAATACATGATGATTTTGTATTGCAAGTAATTAATAGGACTCCTTTATTTAGTAAATTCATTGATAAGTTTCAAGCGAGTGTGAAATCTATAAATATATAAATTATATACAATGAAAGAACACAAAAAAGAAAGTTTGAACACATGACATAACGAGAAGATTTTTTAAAAGAAAATACAAAATGAAAAGTACTAAATTGGGATTTGGTGTTTGAAGATAATGTCATACAAAATGTAAAAATGATGGAAAGACTATATTTATATGTACTATAAAGAGAATGCATGTAAAAAGAAGAAGAAGAGATTATTTAAATCCTAACTAGAAACTGAAAGTCTTCCTGTCATATTAGGTGTCACACTTGTTAGAAAAAGTAAAAAATATAAAGTACAAAATTTTATTAATAATCATATGTATTTTAAATTTCCAAGAGATAATTCACATATTAGCATGTCAAAGAAAAGGATCTCAAGGGCAGGCTTCTGAGATTGAGTTGGCCCATCAAGAAGAAGAAAAAAAAAAGGCATAGTTTGAGATAATGAACAGGCATGGTGGAAGAGCAAACTTAGACAAGCAAGAATATTACTACGTAGAGCAACTAGCGAGGAAAGAACATAAATCAAACATTTTTCGGGAGATGCTAGGATGATTTTGACTATATTATAGCTGTTTTGGTAATGTTATTACTTTTTGTGTTGTTTGTAGGCTTAATTATGGTGCTAGTGAAAGAGTTCGAAGTGTTCTTGAACTATGTTGATAAAACAGTTTCTTGTAAATGTAAAAAGTTTGAGATCTTTGGCATGTTATGTTGTCATGCTAATAGTAGTTATATTAATTTTCTTCATAACGATACATTCTGAAAAAAAGTGGACAAAGAAACGTAAGAAATAGAATGGTGTGTGGGAGTACTAGCGAAGAGGATGATAAAATTGATAGCAGACTTTGGCGCCTGTGGCAATCATCAATCATTTTTTGAAATTGTGTTTTGAAATTACCAGCATAGCAATATTTTGGCACAGGTCAGAATTCGATTCCGAATAATCGAATTCTCACCTTCGATTTTGTTTGTTTTGACCCAAAAACCAGTCAATATTCAATTTCGAGAAAATCAAATTTTGAGCTCGAATTTTATTTTTGTTTTGTTGTTCGTTTAAATAAAAAATAGGATAATTTAAATAAATAAATATAATATTTTAAGATAGAAAAATATATTTGTAGTGTTTTTTTTTAATTTTTGGAAGATTAATTTGTATCGACGAGTTAAAAAAATGAAATAATTTATAATAATAATTTATAATTTAGAAATGATTATTTAAATATTGAAAAATGTTGGTTTAGTTATATTTTTTTATTATTAAGAATAGGTAGTAAAAGTTATTAATAGGTGTAGAAAATAATTAAGTACATATGTAGTTAAAAATGATATTACTGAATGTTAGTTCCAAATAATTTGTACAAACCATACGTCAAGGTTATATATATTTTTATGATGACATTTAACTTATAATAGAAACTCATTTACATATTGAAGTTGTAATGAATATATGTTTGTAAATTGTTAAGATACGGCAACATGATAGATGAATTTTATAAAATTTCTGAACTCTGTTCCATTGTGTTAAGTGGAAAAAAATACTTAAAAGTATTGGTTATCATATTTTTATAACATTCATAACACCAAGATTAAAGGTGCAAAAATTATAGTTGTGTCTTAGTTTTTATTAAGCTTGTTAACAAAATAATTTTTTAAATAAATAATTCACATAAAATGTGTATAACATTCCATTACTCTATCTTAAACCATTACAAAGCTTGCTATAAAACTCAAATAAATAAAGAAAACAAGATTACATTAGCTTACTTATAAAACATCTCAAAGACTAACATTATAGTAACTCCACCATCATCGGTGGATGATGGACCACAACCATAGTCAAACTTCTTAACATTATTGTCTCCATTGAAACCATTACTGAATGTCAATGAAACAAATGTTGAACATCTTCATCATTTCGTAAAAAAATGAAGTTAGAAGCTTACTACTAAACAACTCCACAATTTTTAAACATACTTAGTACTGAACTATCCACCATCACAAGCCTACTAACCCTTCTTTGAAAATTTCTCATTAGATGATTCAATTTTGATTAGACTTCACTATGAACTTGGCTTGACTTGTCACCTTTATTAGGTAATCGTGACAAAGACACAACCTTTTAATCAATACTCTGACATTGGTATATGCTCTAATGACTCAGTCTATGCTACTTTACAATTGTATTTGGTAAGCATGCCAGAAACATTTTTGCTTTTAGTACACTTTAATATAACATTACTTAGGAGATGTTCCAATGACTCAGTCTCTCAATGAATGCTCTCACATGCACTTCACACAAAGACAAGACTTTATAACTTTATTAGGTAAGCTTGCCAAACACATATTTTCTTTTAGTACCCTTAAATCTGACATCACTTGGGAGATGTTCCAATGACTCAGTCTCTCAAAGAATGCTCTCACATGTCCTTTGCCACAAAGACAAGTGTTAAGACCTCGATAAGCGTACTGAATCATTCAAGTAATAAAACCGGTAAGATCGAATATCGTTTCTCAAGAGACTCGTGGAACACTAAACGATCGTATAATTGTTTAACTAATTAAGACTAAGAATGATTTCATTTAGCAAGGTTGAATGTACTTAAAGTAAACAACTCGCGTGAATAGTAAAGTGATCTTTTGTATCCAAAAACACTTGGAAATGAATGAGAATAAAAATAATGGAATGGTAATATTGGGGTTAGATTTCACCTACTTCACTACTGTCCATTTTCATTACGATTTTAAATATATATTGCAAAATTAATTTCACTTTTAATTAACAATACTAATATTCACTAAGTTATTTTTTCCTTTAACCTTTTAAGCTATAATTTAATAACCTATACATTGAATTTAATTTTCTAATTTTCAATAAAATGCACTAATCATCAATTCCTACTTTATAAACTTTCAACAACAAAGTAATAATAATAAACTTAAATTACTTAACCATATATTTATACATTTTTCAATATTATTATCTCAAAAAATTACACTAATTATAAAATATTAATAACTTACCTTACACACACACACACACACATATATATATATATATATATATATATATATATATATATATATATGTATATATATATATATATTCCATTTCTTGATTAATTTTTTCCATCTCCTACTGTGTTTCAAATTCAAAAATATAAAATAATACATTTAAAAAAATATTTAATAAAATCCAACCATATAGATAAATATAATTCCATCTAATAAACATATAATCTTTTTTACTTTATTTTCCTCTTTTTTAAAAAAAATTGAAAATAAAATAAATAATATATTAGATAAATAAATATATTATTCATCTAATAAACATCTAACTCTTTTTTAAACTCTAATTCAAAACTACACGAATGTTAAATAAAAAGTTATATTTTTTTAAAAAAACAAAAATAAAAAAACTAATTCAGAATTCAATTTCTAGATAACTGAATTTTAACTGGTTTTCAGGAAAAAAAAAGAAATTGAACTAACCCCGTTAATGTGCATGGAAACCGAATTCCCACCTGTAATCAAAACTGTGTTATGTGTTATGTAGGCAAATATTACCTAAGGTAATTAAAAAAGAACTGTGCTGCTGCTGCCGCTGCAGGAAAATAATATCCACCAACTTTTTAAACTCTTTCTATCGTATCAAACAATTTCCAAAATCTTCCTGCAGAGGCTAATTTCCAAAACCTGCCACTCCATCCATTGGGTCTATTCTACCAACAAATTCAGTTGTTTTTTAAATTCTTCTGCAGGAATTTTTTACCTTTTTTTGTTTTGTTTTTGGACCTTGCCATTGTCACAGTCCAAAAGTTAAGACAATGTACTATTTCAGACCTTTGACTTACCATATTTACACCCACACTGCACAAGTAATTAAGAAGATTCAAGAAAGTACAGAAATAATAAATGACGAGTACTCATAACATCACTTCACACTTAGCTCACCCACTCAACGGTGGCTCACTGGTGGCGCCACCCACCACCGTTGCTGCACAATCACAACATCCTATATAAATATGAAGCATTCCAGTGACACAAGTGGATTCTCCAGTGACTCGCCGCCAGAAACCCATTTCCTTGCCGTCGCCAGATTCTCCTTTCTCCGGCAATCGTTTCCCGCCGTGCTTGTTATTACCCTTGCCGGGCAACGGTTAGTTTTTCTCACAGATGGGTTTCGACCCACAACGGACCTAGATCCTCCGGTAGCCGGCGACCTTGACTGCCGGAAAGATTTCTCGGCTGGATCTTGCCGGCGAAGTGTTCCACCGCTGCCCGTTTTCTGAGCCGTTTGGTCTCTGCACTGAACCAGCCTCACAGACCTAACATTGTTCCTTGGACCATGCACTGTTCTCTCTCTTCTCTCACCGGGAAAGGAACGATTTTTCAGCAATTTGGCCTGAGATACATCGACCCTTTTGCGCGTTTCTTGTCCTGGCTCGGTGATTGAAGTAGTTGTGGACACGGTTTCGCTCAAGCTGCAAACTTCATCCGAGGGGTCTTCCGCTTTATAAATGGGCAAAGACTTTTTCTGAACTTTGCTCTGTTCATCTCTGACCTTGTATTGGAGTGGCTTTTGAGGTTTTGGTTTGGCAAAGGTTGTTGGATTCCGTTTCCGGGCTTCCAAGAGAACTTGCTTCACTGTCTCACTTTCTTCCTCTCTGCTGCTTTCTTGAGGTTTCTCTCGATGAGTGAGAGGTTGCGGTGAACCACGGAACTTTCTTAGTGGCGAGGTGGAGGTTTTGTGACTAGAACTCACACAACAACCCATTGCTACGTTGGATTCTACACAGTTGGAAACCAAGTATTTGGTTCTTCAAAGAAGAAACATTATTGCTGAGGGAAGGCTCAAAGGTCTTTTTGGTGGTTCCATGAGTGAAGTTGGTCTTGCACAGCTAATGTTAGTTAAGGAACAGAGTGAATGTTGGGGTCAAAGGAAGGATGCATTTATTGTTGGGGGATATGTAAAACATTTTATTTGGAAAAGACAAGAAGCAATGAGGAAAAGTTAAAATGCACATGAAATGGGGTAGATTCATTTAGCCAACTAATTATCCCTTTTAACCTTGGAAAAATAGAGTTGTAAGGTAAGTTTAAACAAGTGTGTTTTATGTGGTATTCGTCCCTGATCTGATGAAAGTGCTCGTACATATTGGAAAAGAGGGAATAAAAGGTGTTGCGTAGGATGATGGTGATATGGGGCTTTTGTATTAGGTGTCGTGAATCTTAAGGTATGATATATATGGGATGAATAATGATAAGTAGATATATATATATTTATATTTATTTGATAGATATTATAAGATAAAATAATTATAAAAGAAATGATTTTTTGTATATTTAAAGAAATAAAAAAATTGTGTTAATTGATATAAAAAATTTATGTTTCTCAAAATATCAAATGATGTGTAATATGTCAAAAGTATGAGTCATGTGATAATGGTTATTGCTTTAAAATGACAGAAAGCTAATTATTTTAACACCATTATAAAGTTTTAGTCATTTCTCTTTACACATGCTTCTTCATGTAATAAGTAGAATAAGATAAAGTAATTTTTGGATAATTACTATAGAAAAATATTATTTGTAAATATATTATGGATAGAGTGAGTTTCAATATTAATATATATTTTTTAGATAATAAACAACATTATATTTTTAATTCGTAAACTTAAAGAAGTAATTTTTGTTTGAATTTTATTAATACTTATAAACATGTAAAGTTTTATGTGTTTCTGAAGCTGTTTTAAAATCTTTAGAGTCATTTGTTTATTATTAAGTAAGAGAAGTTAGTTAATAATTTTAACTTATAGACAAGTTATTGTTGATTGTAGACTTGTATGATAGTTGATTTGTGTAATTGAATTGTCTGATGAAATTTGATATGCTGAGTTGAGATTAAGAAGTTTGAATTATCTTTAGAATAAAGGGATTGAAATTTGATGTGTTGAATTGTTAATCTTGTAATTGAAGTAAATTAAGTTATTGAATTATGCATAATTTGATGGTTGATTATTTTAGCGTTTGTGGCTAGTGTTAGACTAAATTGCAGAGATTTATACTAGTACCAAAATATCGTATAATGTCGTTATTTTTTGACCTTTCACATCGAATTCAAGGTCGACGTCATATCGGGAGACGTTAAATTGACGTCGAATTTAAAAAATTCAACTTTAATCAAATTGACATCGAATTTTGTTAATATTTGACGCTAAGCAATTTCTTTGTTTTTTTTTTAATTAATTGTAATCATTTTTTACAACTCTACGAGACCTGAAAAGCATAAAAACAACAAATTTTAATTTTTGGTATTTTATAAAGCATGAACTATGAACGTGCAGTATAGTATCAACAACAAATAACAATAACAAACAAGTTCAATCAAACAACAACAATAACAAACAAGTTTAACCAAATAACAACAACAAACAAGTTCAACAAAAAGCAACAACAAAGAAGTTCAACAAATAAGTTCTTCAAAACGAAAACGAAAACAAAAACTAACCTTTAAAAGGTGGGTTCGTTGGAATAAATTCCACCGGTGAGAGAGAAAGCAGAATGCGCCTATGAAGGACAAGAACACGAAAATAATCGGTCAAAACAAACGAAAATTATACATAAAGTAGTTAATTAACACGCATTTGTATCAAATGTAAGAAATATTACATGTGATGATCGTCAAACTTCGTTCGAGAAAAGTTTGAGAAGAGAATAGGGCCTCGCGCACTAAGATAAAGTGAATGAATTTTCAATCTCTCGCTCAAATTAAAAAGGGAAAACTTTTGGCTGACAAATAATATGTCTAAGCTCCTACAAAATTCGACGTATTATATGTGGTTTAAAAGAAAAAAGAAAAAAGAATTAAAAAGGGTGACTCTTTGGCTTCTGACCGACAAATATTACGTCGAACCCCTACATGATTCGAAGTACTATTGGTGGTTTAAAAGAAAGAAGAAAGAGAATGACGTACTGGTTTAAATAATTACCATCATAGAATGTCAAATTGAATGGGGCTTCGACGTTCTACAATTGCATTTATTTACAAAAATGTCACCGATCATTTTTAACGTTGGCTATTCAATGGTTGGACGTTGAACGCGTAACGTTATACGCTGTTTTTGCACTAGTCGCATAAATATGTAGAATTATGCAAATTCGTTGGGTGGGCATATACTTGTTGAGGTCAACGTTAGAGACTTACTGACTAGGTGGTCGTTAAACGAGAGTATACTCTCTAGGCAAAACCAAAGTCAGATAAATCACTGATTTGACTTTCGTTGAGCAAGAATATGGTCATTGGGCGAGCTCAAGTTAGAGAGCTACTGACTTGAATGTGGTTGGGCAAGACAAGTCTCGTTGGACGACTTTCATGATACATTTAGTCTATGGGATCCAGTGACGATCTTGTTGGGCGAGTTATCTAGTTATTGGGTGAGAGTACTTTTAAGCACTATTCCCTAAGCGTATATATATTCTTGTTAGGCGAGATTAACAAAGTCCAACACAACCTTTCACATGTGCTTTTCTGGTTTATGTATATTTCTATTTATGAATGTTAATGTGATGGTTAGTTTGTGATAATCATATGAGAACTTTTGATATGTTTATGTGTGATATGATTTTTGAGAGAATTTGAAGAAGAAATATGAGAACCTTTGATATGTTTATGCGTGATATGATTGTTAGAGAATTTTAAGAAAAAAAAAATTATGTTTTGGTGATTTTTAGTGTATGTTTGACATATGAGAGTTTAAAAAGAAGGTATCGTGCTATATTTCAAGTCATTTAACTCATATAGAGATTAATAAAGTGAGAAGAGAATGATAAGAGATCTTTACCCTAAAATTTTAGTCTTAAACGTAAAAGATTAGCCTCGTAAGGTTTATAATCTGCAAAACATAAATACTACTATTGCTACATACTTATAGTGAAGTCTTATATCAAAATATATATTTGGATAATTGAGTTTGGAGTTAATTGTTTGTATATTTATATGAATTATCATACATTATAATGTTTTATTTAATAATTTTATATTATTCAATGACATATCACGTTATATCTTAATTTATCATATTTTTGTACATATGGTAATTGAAGGAAAGGGTAACAATTATGAGATTCTAAAAATAAAATATATTCAATTTTCAAAATTAAAAATGAGTCAAAAGCACAATATAAACTATTTTATTATATTTTTATTTATTTAACCTCTTTTACGTAAGAATTGGTATACCTCAGAATAATTTATATCAAATTTAAAAATTAAATATATTCAAATTTGAGAAAATTTAGAAGTGAGACAAAATATAATTTTTATCGCGTTGATATAACTTATTTTAACTATTAAATATATTCAAATTCAAGAGTTAGCGCTAACTTGTCCAAATAAAAAAATAATTAATTGTTAAAGTTTATGAATTAATGTCAGTTAGTCTTATTATAATTATAAATATATTTCATTTCTTAAATTTATAACTTAGCATAAATAGACTATAACAAAAGTATATTTAATTAGTTTTTACTTTTAAATTTGTAGTAAGAATTTAAAGTTACTATTAGCATATGCGTACTACTCTCTTTAAATTTCAAAAGTTAATGAAATATATTTTTGTATAACACGAAGAAGATTGTGTTGGCTTAAAATAATTTATTTTATATCTAATTCCCTATTCAATTCATGCTAAATATTTACTTTAGTTTTTTTAACACAAAATACTTTTCAAATTTCATATGTATTTTTTTATCTTTTAATGTTAATTTATGTATCTATAATCTATAATAATCTATAACTATTAATAAATAAAAAAATTTGTTGGAAACTATTTGGTAACCACTTTTTTATGTAAATATTTTATTTTGTCATTATTAATATAAATTACTTTATTAATCATTATATCTTTATATTTTATACTATCCTTTTTATGATTACTTTTTAAAAATATACTTTTTTATAAATTCAATAACATTTTTTATTTTAATAATAATTAAAAGAATTAATTTTTATTTATTATCATAAAGTAAAAGTATGCATTGCGCATATGTTTCTACTAATTATTTTAAAAAAAATTAAATGAAAAAGATACTTTTAAGTATAAAAACTAATTTTTAAAAGGTTAATATGTTGAAAAGGATGAATAATTAATTCTTAAGTTTATTTTAAAATAAATTATAATTAAAACCTAATGGGGAAAAAACCTATATGTTATGCTATATGTTATGCTATATGTTTAAAAAAAATTACTACATTCATTCATGTAAATATTTTACTAAGTAGCATATTAAAATAAAAATTGTAATGAAGGGTTTTCTAATGAAATCTTATAAATTTTAGGTCGTTAATTAAAATCAAACTTTAATTTTGTTGCCAATATTTTTTTTAATATAATTACTGGTAAACATATACTTTAAGAACTAATATGTTATGCTATATGTTTAAAAAAAATTACTACATTCATTCATGTAAATATTTTACTAAGTAGCATATTAAAATAAAAATTGTAATGAAGGGTTTTCTAATGAAATCTTATAAATTTTAGGTCGTTAATTAAAATCAAACTTTAATTTTGTTGCCAATATTTTTTTTAATATAATTACTGGTAAACATATACTTTAAGAACTAATTTTAAAAACTAAAATAATCAGTCACTATATATTAATTAAGTTAGATATGATTTTATGAACTAAAAATTATATAAATATCTAAAATAAGTTCTATTATAAATAAAAAGTTAAAATTATTTTATAAAATGAAATCTCATTTTGTCTCTAATATTATTTACCAAGTTTTTAACTAATTATTTATTAATTATAAATTAGTATATAATTTAAATTAATTACTAATTTATTTGGAACCAAAACTTTGATGAATAAGAATAGTGATTAATTAATTTTGTTTTATCTGGTACTAGAAGTAACTCGATACACAGTTATAACCAGTAAAGCTGATGGGTGCATTGGATTCTTCTTGGAGGAAGAAAACAACACGAAACATTTTGCATGTGTGTTGCCTGCAGCCTGTGGTAACAAGGAATTTCATAACCTGACAATCAAGAACAAAACTGCCAATGTTTTATGTCTGTTTTTTCGATTTGTCATGCCTGTAAGTTATGACAATAAATCTGTCACACTTTCAATACAAACCACAAGTTTTCCTTTTTATTTTACAATTTCCGTATTAAAATATTTTTCTACAGTAGAACTTCTCTTTGTACAAAGGTTAATGATACTTTTTTCTAGTTCAATGCAGAAAAAGTCAAATAAAATATTTCTTACAACTATTTTTCATTCTTTTCCCCTATTTATTTCTTCTGAACTAAATGTTAAATATATATAATATTTCGATTTACATATTTAAGTATAGTAATAAATATATTATCTTAGACTAACATGAAACTTGAAAACCGGTGGAATCAACACATATACATATATTTCAATCAACATGAAATTAAGAATTAATTACCACTTCAGATCTGAGAAGGGCATGGACCAGACTAATAATTCTTCTTTTTCTTTTCTACTCATCATAGTCTACGAAAACAACAAGGGCATTAGATCTGTAAAGCATTAATAATAATAAAAGTTTTAAAATAACTAAAAATACAAATTGCATATTCTCATTCGTGATTATTAATTGACTTCATCCATGAGTAAGAATCAACTTTCCATCAGAAAATTATTATTCAAAACTCAGTTTGTATTTATAAACCTTTATACCCGAAATATTTGTCAACAATAAATTTGTTAATTTGGTCTAGTACACATGGTTTGCTTTATATCCACGTGAATCGGTGCTGAAAAACTCATAAAACCAAATAATCCACAAAAGAAAGGGTCAAATTAGCAATAAAAGCTTTACGGTTTGGGTCCATAGAACTCAAAAAAGTTCACATTTTTCACATGTTGTGCAAGTGGGTCTTACATTAAGATAAATATGATTGAATTCAAACCAAGTCAAGTAGATCAATCAAGGTAGGATCCAAATTAGACTATCTTTAGGTTAGGTTAAGTTAAGGTTGATAGGATTAAAGATAATTCAAATACAATTATGTTAAGTTGAAGGTTGAACTAAGTCACATTGAATCAAAAGTTAAGACAAATTGATTCGAATCAAATGTCAAGATAAGTTAGCTTAAGTCGTAGATAGAGATAAGTCAATCTAGGTTATAAGTCAAACTTAGTTGACCCTAGTCAAAACTCGAACCAAATCATCTAGGATGTAGGTCGAATTAAGTCAACTCTGATAAAAGGTTGATCCAAGTTGGCTAGGTTGAAGAACTCAGTCAAGTCAACTTAAGTTAAAGGTTAACTGAGTTAGTTAAAAGGTAGAGTCAACTCATTTCAAATTAAAAATTAAATTACTTGAGGTTACTCTATTTAACTTTAGATCCAAACAAACTTTTCTTAACTTTCAGCTCAGACTAAATATCTTATATTTATGAATTATTAAAATCTTATAGTGAGATTAAATCCAACCTTAACTCTAATACCAAAAAAGATAATTTTAAAAACTGAAATATTTTAAAATTCCTCATTTGATTAACCACTAAATGGAGATTTATTTATGAATGGGTTGAAAATGACCACAAAGAATTAAATTCACACCTAAAATCAAATGATTTGTTAAGAGTACAAAAATCAAACAAGAATAAATTAAATAAAAACAAAATTAAAATTTCAAAATCAATCACAACTTTTTCATGTAAAAAAATCAAAAGGATTACCCTTATGTTCAAAACTATTTCATGTCCTAAAGATATGTCAAATCAAAATATCACATTAATACAGTTATATTCAAAATGTAGGAAATGACTCTCAAAATTTAGAGTATTTAATGTGTCTTTTTGTTATCCGGTTCTTATCTATAACCCAGAATGATTATGAAACACTCTTGTGTGTTGTCTTTATTTCCCAAGTTTTAATCATTGACAAGTACATGAACAAAGGAATCCATCCAAGAGATTGGAGAGGGAGTTAAAACTATAAAATCAAATCACAAATAATTCATAAAAGAAGTATAACAACAAGGAAGGATTACTACAATGATGACAAACGGACTTTGGAGAAAATATTTGAAATAATTTGCCTTCTTAGTGTTGGAAATCCTTATTTGTACATAAAAAATGAGTCATTATCTTTCTTCCGTATTTCTACAACTGAGTTTTTATTTGGTCCCAAGATCATGATAAATAGGAAAAATAGGAAAGGATGTTATAGCTTCCTAAAATAACCTAACTTATGTTTGTATACAGCTTAATTTACCTTAATTAGGAAACAAACATATCTTACCTTCTTTAGCTTTCCAAATCTCAATGCAACTATATATAACTATCTCATTATAACTCTTTCATTGAAATCGATATATATTGTAGATTGCTTTTACTCCAAAATTTGGTGAATTTTCTTTATAACATAAAAGTCTACTTATTGATTAGCTTAAATTAGTGTCAGAATTTAAATTTTGTTTATCTTTTTAAGAATTTAAAACAAAAAATTATATTATTATTGGCGAAATGTTATTGACAAAAACATTAATTGATAAAATGAATTTTATCAATAAATTTTTGAATTTTTATAATGGATGGATATTAATATCGGTAATACATCGATTACTAAAATAAATTTTTTATTTTAACATTGTTTTTGTTGGTAATAGATTTATTAGTAAAATGAGAGTTAAAATTTGTCTTAGTTTTTGACCATTCATGACAATATTTTTTAATAATTAAATATTTTAATGTCTGTCAATAAATCTTTGATACATATATATATATATATATATATATATATATATATATATATATATATATTTTAAAATTTGTTGAGGTAATTAAATTATTTAAAATTATTTTATAATTAATTATTTTTAAAATTTATCGATAATTAAATTTTTAAAATTTTGGACAATTGAATTTTTTAAAAATGTAATTGATTTTTTAAATTTATTAGTAAATTTGTTCAGTAATTAATTTTTTAAAATTCATCAGTAGATTCATTGGTATTATGAGTGTCAAATTTTTTAATAAATCTAACAAAATATGTCTTATAAATAACTTAAAAATAAATAAAAAGAAGAAGAAAAATTAAAAAAAAAAAAGGTGACAACGAAGTAAGATGATAAATAAATGAATATAACATGAGAATGTAAGAGAAAAACTTATAAAATGATGAATATTGTCATGCCACTTGGAGAAGCTCCGTTATAATAAGCATTGATAAAGTAAGAAGACAAAGATACAATTAAGGAAAAATAAATGAATACAAAATAGGAATGGAAAAGAGAAACATATTAAATGATAAAGATTATTATGAAACTTGATTAAGGTTCTTTTTAGAAAATCAATCTTTCATTCAATTAACGAAATTCCTTTAAAAAAAACTATTTATAGTTAAAGCATATGGAATTTACATCTAAATGAAATGTACATGTGTCTTAAAATTAAATCTATATTAAAACCCATTAACCTATAAACTTTGGCTGAAATTAAACCATGGAGGAAAGTTTGTAATTAAAAATTCAAAACAAAATGAAGGAAAAGCTCCATTAATTGAACAAAAATTGAGGAGCATACATTCTTTGCTTGGCCATGCTTTTTATGCTCTCTTCACATAAGAAATTAATACTAATTTATGCATAGCAAGAAAGGTTTTCCACCATGATAGTGGCTAATAGCCCTTTCTTCTTTAGGCTAAATACGAAGCTTGGGAAGAGAAAGATTCATTTCATGCATGGACATTGAGATCACATTCTATATGGATTAGGAGAGTTGCTTCTTCCACCACCCCAAATGCACCCTAAACCTTCTATGAAGAGAGTATTTGAGGTGATGGAGGGAGCAACTCTCCCGAACTAGATGTTCCGAAACATAGCAATGTTATTCGAATTGACCAAATCCTTAAGTATTTTTAAAACCCCCCAAACAGTGCACAAGGAAGAAGCAGGGGAATATTTGATGTAAGGAAGGAAGAAGGAGATGTGAAGCTACGATTGTAGAACTTTTAATACATTTTTAAAGAAGGGTAAAATAAGGATATGATTATTTATAGGGTACAGGAAGAGAAAAAGGGGGTACGGGAAGAAATGCCCTTCAACTAGATATAAAGTGTTTTTGAGAGGGACTAATTTAAGGGGGGCAAAGCAGCCATTGTACTAAAATATATTGTACTAAAATATATTTTAAACAATAAATTTGGAAGTACTAAAAAAAGAAAATATATAAAATATTAGTGTTAGTAAGTCAATGACTCTTCTTTAACTTATCTTTTCACGCAGTTTTTATTAGGGCAGTGCTCCTTCCACCACCACCCCTTGCTCCCTCCACCTCTCCAATTTATTTTATTTCCAAAATTATCCTTCTGTTAAAACTTTTTTACTTTAACCAATTTTTTAATATATTTCAAAATCCTAATTTAACCTAACTTATTTACTCTCGTAGTTGACTCCACCACCACATCTCTCTGACCCCCACCACCACATTCTCTCTTTTCTTTCATTTCCGTTTCAATTTTTCTTCTTCCTTCTCTTTCTTTTTCGTTCATTCTTCTCTTCCCCATTTTCCTTTCATTGTTACCATTGGTGTTGATTCTTGGTGTGGAGGAGCGTAGAGGAGGAGGTAGATCTGGTTTCGTTGCGGAGGGCAGGGGCTCTTCAAGTTGAAAGTGCTCCCTCCTTTGTGAGGCAAAAATTTCAATTTGATGGTGTCATTGAGGCCCAACAATTTGATAGAGAGACTCTTAATGCCATTTTTGAAGTTGCAAGGAGGATGGAGAGGATTGAAAGCAATTCATTTGGGAGCCAAATGCTTAAGGGTTACCTCATGGCTACCTTGTTTTATGAGCCATCCACTAGAACCAGGCTTTCGTTTGAATCCGCCATGAAAATATTAGGAGGGGACGTTCTCGCAACTGAGAATGCAAGGGAGTTTTCATCTGCTACTAAAGGAGAAACACTCAAATGTATGTCTTGTCGGTTAACGATGCAATGTTTTTTTAGTTGGTGCATTTCATTGTTGTTTTATCTAAAATTGGAGTTTTGTGGAACTTTACTTCTTGCAGATACTATAAGAACTGTTGAAGGTTACTCTGATATAATTGTGATGAGACACTTTGAAAGTGGTGGTGTAAAAAGAGCAGTAGCAACAGCTAGCATTCCTGTAATCAATGCAGGGGATGGCCCTAGACAACATCCCACCTAATTACTAACAATGATGTAAAATATTTGGTAGGATGGATATCAATCGTGGAACCTTGATTCTTAAACGGATGTCAACGGATATTGACATTCGTTTGTTCTGATATCCGATGTTTACATCTGTTTTAAATGTTAGTGAAGGTCAAAAGAAGAATGAGAAGGTGCAACGAACAGTGTGTAGTGCTGGAAGGAGTAACTCTCTTTTTACTATCAGTTAAAATTTATAAAATCATGAGTAAAACACACTAAATAAAAAGAAAATTCATAAATTTTTGTTTTTCTAATTAATTAAGTTAATAATAAATAGGGTGCTGAATAATATTTTGTTTCAATTGATGCAGATTTATTCTTAGATTAATTAAAGATTTTGAATTGAAGTTTTAGGCTTAACTGCTTACTTGGTCCCTATGTTAAGTTGTTTTTTTCAGTTTAGTACCCAGTTTTAAAAGTGTATCCATTAGATTCTAAAGTTGTAAAAATTGTATCAATCAAGTCCTATCCGTTAAGTTGAAAATAACGGCGTTAAGTTGGAAATAACGGCGTTAACTCTGTGCTGACGTGGCTGCACTTTTTTTCTCTCTCTTATGCTCTTTCTGCCATATTTTTATCTCTCATCTCATATTTTTCTCTCTCTTCCTTGTTAATGGTTTTCAAAAGTTCAAGGGCTTTTAGAGATCAATTTTCCTCTGTCAAACAGAATCTCCCGAGGCATGGCATCCCAAATGGATTCGACTTGGGTCTCGAGTTCAGCACAACATCGACCCCTTGTTTGTCGAATTCATTTCACTTCCACAATAGAACGTTTGATGAATAATTCAAACCCAAGTCAAATTACTTCAGAAAAAAAAATTGCACCACACCCACGATTAAAGATAGCGAAAGCAATAAAAAAAGGAAAAATAGTGAGTTAGTAGAATGAAGTGAGAAGTGAACAGGAAGAGATTAAGAATCTTTGGTAATAATGGATTCTGATGAATCATGATTTAATAAGTAACGAAAAACAATCACGAAGGGATTAGAGTAAAGTAGTGTATATACCCTGGAACCAAAACAAAGAAAGAAAAAAAAGGGTACTTAGATTCTACGCAAAAAAAAAGATAAGAAAAAAGGTAAATAGGAACATATGAATCTTTTTTAAGGTAATATTATAATTAATAACGTTTCTTAAAAGATGAGTTTGGGTTAAAGATGGAGACAATCGGAGAAGAGAGGAGAGGCAACTGAATTTCAATGTCTACTAAAGCATTTGGGTCGTCTTCCTTTGTCAGTTACCCAGTAAGTAAAGTTGCACCTTTTCTTGTTCAGTGAAAGAAGGAGAAGAATAAAGTGTAATATCGTAATTGAAAATGGATACAAAATACAGCATCCCCAAACACCCGAATCACGAAAACTTTAACCAAAATTGGAAGATCTAACAAGAGCAGCCTTCTTACCAACCGCCCAATTTTCCAAACCATCAGCCTTAAACGCACCACCAAAACCACTGCCACCGCACCACCAAAACCACCAAAACGCGGGGACAAATTTCTTCATGGAGGCCTAATTGTCCACCTCATCAGCCCTGGAAGGCTGATCGAGTTTCGAAACCCTAGGATTCGGACCCCTGCGTTCCTCGTCTCCGATAGAGGGTATTGCAATGGCGGTCACCGGCGGTGAATGAATAGACGGAGCAATGGTTGGATCTGTGATTTCAAAATACAGAGGAGAGGAGTCCCTAGCCTTGAGGGGTTAATGCGAGGTGGGTGAGAGTTGGAGGAGGAGCGTGTGGAGGTGGGAGTGGTGGAGGGGAACCTTCGAAAGAGGTTGGGGAGAAAGGGAAGCGTAGGGTTTCTTGTCTGCGAATGATAGTGTTGATGCCATCGTTGAGGCTCTGAGGACAACGACGAGAAGCTTCTCCTGCCGCTCCTTGTTATTCTTAGCAGAGGGAGAGTGAGACTCAATGGCGACCCTAATCGAATAGGTGAGATGCGGTTAGGAATCGGAGGGAAGGAATAGAGCATTAAAGAGAAGAAAACAAAAGAACCTGAAAATTTGTTAGATTTGTCGAAAGAGGGAAACCTCTGATGGGTTGGTGGCGGAATGAGGAGAGAGAAGAGAGAAGAGAGAAGAGAGAGAAGAGAGAGGAGAGAGAAAAAGTTAGGTGTTACAGGAAAAGCAGATGAGAGAGAGAAAAAAAAGTGTTTGACGCGTGACGAATTTAACGCCGTTATTTCTAACTTAACGGACTTATTCATACAATTTTTATAACTTTAGCATCTAATGTATACACTAAAAAAACCACTTAATATAGGGATTTTAAGCCAAGTTTTAAATTGCCTTAAATATTCAAAGATTAATTTATGATGTTTTAATTTATTTTTTCAGGTTCCATTACATTATATTACTTTTAAGACGGTTATTCAACTTTTATTATAATGCAAGAGTCTTATAATACTTACATTTTAAGCAATGTTTTATTTAGTTATTGGTAGAAATATATATTTTTAAAATAAAAGAAAATTATTCTTATGATCTAATGTGTTATTTAAGACGTAAAATTGGAATTTTATTTTATGTCGGCATACGTTATTAAAAAAATCGTATAAAACTTAAATCTTAAACTTATAACCATGTGTATAACTTTTGCAATGAAGATATCCTTAAACACCTTTAAATAATAATAATACATTGGGAAATCTTCGTGATAATAAATTATAAGTTTGTTATACATTTTTTTAATATATTATTATTTAAAAATATCCACCAACACTTATAGAATGTCAAAGAAATGTTATTCTAATAATACACCATAAATAAATAATTGCAATTTAATTACATGACTAAATAACTACACATATTAATAATAACATGATTACTAAAAACACACAAACAGACAAAAAAAATATGATAAACTTTTATAATTTTTAACATTTTTTATTTCCTCTATTATTTCTAGAAAATGATCCTGATTATAGGAATGATACAAGGATAATTTCAACTAATCCAAATAAAAAAAAGTATGAGTCTTTCTCGAACAACAATCTTAGTCAAATAAAAATTATTTACATTAATTTTAATGATTTTGAATAAATAAGTAATTTGTTTAAGATAAAAAATATGGTTAAAAATATTTTTAGTCTTAATTAAACTTTAATGAGAATTTGTATCTCTCTTCAAATTTTAATATAGTTTGGTTTTTGAATTTGAAAATGAACCGATGTTTCTTTAATGCAATTGAATTAAATCTTTTTGATATTTTTAAATGTTTGATATATTCTAACTCAAATGTCCAAGGGTTTAACATATAAAAAAATTATTAGGTTAAAAGAATTATATTTTTTAATTTTAAAAGTTTAAAAACCAAAATATATCAAAATTATAGACGAGACGAATTTCAATTTTGTGTTAACTAGCACGTAGTAAACCTAAAAACATATGATTAAAACACTAATATGTAAAAAACTCTATTTAATTCAAAAATAAAAATTGTACTTTAATAATTAAAACATTTTAAAATAATAAGATTGCAATAAGAACCAAAATTGATTTATTAATTTTCAAAGTTTAAGATCAATCAAAGTTTTGAATAAAAATGAATTTCAATTTATTGTCCAAATTTTGGAACTATCCACGTATTAAACACTAACATGTAAAAAACTTTAGTTATTGGAGTATTAATGTAAAAATTTTAACAAATTTATTTCAAAAATAAAAATTTTACTTAAATAATTAAATCATTTTGAAATTATAATTTTGCAATAAAAGTTTATAATTAATGATATAACTAATCACAAACTTAACTCCTTTGATAATTTTTTCATATATGATTGGGTATAATACCTCTCAAGTTTGCCCCTTACTTGTTTTTGGTTCAATTAAGTTCTATTGTGTGTTAAATTGATTCAACGTGGTTTTTTTCTGTTAAATTAACCTTAAAATCATTTGAAAGATGATCATGTATCAATCTAATAAAAATTTTAGTTATTAATTTGATCCCTATATTCCTTTTTGAACCTCAATTGAGTGTTTATATTGTTTAAATAGAGACAATGTGATTTATTTCATGAAATCAACGTTAACATTGTTAGGAGGTGGTCACGTATGAGTCCAAACCTTTTTTCTCCCTTTAACTTCTTCTTCGACAACACAATCTCATCAAAATCACATCTTTCAAATCCAAGATCTTTGTTTTTGTCTATTACATCATAAAAGATGAACACATGAACCCAATTGTGGCTTTCAAATTTGTTAGCAGATCCATGAAGGATGATGCTAACAAAAAATGGAGCACACTATCTCCTTGAAAAAAAAAATTAGTGACTCAATTAAGTCAGAAAAAAAATATAGAACCAAATTACTAATTAAGCCTTTTATTCGACTTATGTGGAATGCCACCTTCCAACTGACATTAATGGTCAATTTAAGAGAAGGGACCACACTGAATCAAGTTAACACATAATGAGATTTGATTGAACAAAAATAAAATATTAGAACCATTGCATATCAAAACTAAAAGTATAAGGACAAAAATAATAATTAAGTTTTTTCATAATTGTTCATTCCTTGCATAAAATTGTGAAGAATATAATATGCTAAAACCATAGTTCTCATTCTCTTAAAATAATAATGAGATTTCATTCCACTAAGTATGGTGGAATTCTTTTTCTATACCAGAAAATGTTCTTTTAATGACATTTCTCAATAATTAAAAAAATTCTTATAGGTTTTGTAAACTTATTTACAAACATTCTTTAAGGTGGTATTTTGATATGGTGTAACAATTTGTTCCTCTTACATGAATCTAACATTTTCAAGATAATACGTTCCTACACAATACAAAAGCATGGTAATTAGAATTGTTGGAAATCCAAGTATGAGTCTAAAATCCCACATTGGATAGAAATGAGAAAGTAGAACACTATATAAAGGTCAAAAACTCATTAACCCATGTTTTGGATAGAGAGTGATGTCAATCCTTTAATGGTTGGACTTAGATGTTATTGGTGTTTGTGTCTCCCCGGTGAA